AGCTGAAGAGGAAGACCGAGGGCAAGGTATGTTCCAGCCGGGTGGTCAAAGCAACCGGCCAAACGGTGAAGAAGAACCTGAGCAAGATAAACATTGTTATGCGGAAGCGTCAGTCGAGGCCGGTCGTGTCTGAGCAGCAGGCAATCACTTGCTGGTGAAAAACATCTTTCCGGCGAAGGGTGACGTTGTGGTCGTGCCAACCCACCCTCCAGCTGCGACCGATAGAATTTTTTTGGGGCGAACCTCAAACGGAGGATCTATTCCAATAATTTCGTGGGCAAAACGGAGGAGCAGCTTATCGCCAAGGCCACGAAAGACCTGAAGAACATGCTGACATCCATCTTTCATCGGCCATGGCTAAGGTTCCGAACAATTGCCGTAAAGAAGCATTTTTTGTAGAAGGCAAGAGGTGGTCACTCTACACACTTATTTTGCTCTGCCGGCAGTGCCGAGAAGTCATTGAATTGACTTTTGTTTGCTTGTGAATAATGCCCTGTTTGGCAACCCGGTATTTTAACAGCGCTTGTTTTGACGTAGGACTACGTCTGTGATTTCTATATGGGGTACACTTTGTGAAAACCAAAAATGTAACAAAATTATGAAAGATTTTGAACATTAATTACTAAGCTGCCCCTGGACCAATTTCAATAATTTTATCACCAATCGATCAGAAATATTTTCACGCATCAATAACAATGCTGACTGATTAACCCAGTCGTCATAATCGAGTACCACTTGGTTGCACATCATTTTGCTTTAACCTGAAAAGATATAAAAGAGCACTGTCTAGCTTCAACTCATTTTCGCTTCGGACGGCTTGGTGAGCAGGTAGCATAATCAGCAATAACAGCAGTAGAAACGCAGTAGGCTAGATAGTTCACTCTTCTACCTAACAAGCAACAATGACTGGTCGTGGCAAAGGAGGAAAAGGTCTAGGTAAAGGAGGCTCCAAGCGTCATCGCAAGGTTCTTCGTGAAAACCGCCACCCGTCGTCTGGTTCACCGTGGTGGTGTCAAACGTATCTCCGGTCTAATCTGCGAGGTGTGCTGAAGGTGGTCCTGGAGAATGTGATCCGTGATGCTGTCATCTACTCTGAACACGCCAAGCGTAAGCGGCCATGGATGTCGTATACGCTTTGAAGCGACAGACGCACTCTGTACGGTTTCGGAGGTTAAATAATCACCAACTTTGGCTTTGGACTATTTTCAGGGCCAAGAAGCTTATTAGCCAACAAGAGTAGGAATAAAATTTATCTGTGCCTGTTTGTCCATATTCAGAACCACACGCCCCCAACGACCTCACAAAATGCTCGCCAGAGTTGTAATCTTGTAACCAAACTTGGAAGCAGGGAAGCAAGTGATTTTGATCGATTCTCTTCATCAACTTTCCCTTTGAAAAAAAAAAAAATTACTTTAAATTTGGTACGCCTACAATTCAAAAACGGAAAGAGTTAAGATAATAGATGATCGATCAATTAGAAGAACTAAATGCTCTTCACATTTTTTTCCGTCCACTAGCGGTCCTACGCCAAGCTTCCGTTCCTGACCCTAGGCACAGACCCTTCTACTTTTTGTTTTGTTTTTCGAAACCTGAGATGACCCGAGAGTAGGAACAACATTTCTCGCATATGAAAAGGACCTATCCTCATTGATCGATTCTCTTCAACGACTTTCTCTTTGGTTTACCACGGCTACATAAACGAATTTCTCGCTAATCTCGCAGCACAGTTCAACAGAAGATGATGTTAGCAGCCCGGCCCAACCACATCCTGTTCACCATCATCAATCTAGGTCTATCCTATTACAGGAGACGTTCTACACACCATCTGCTGACCCAACACTCAGCTATGGTTGAGTTTGACAGCATTGAATCCACCACCAGGGCCCGCGAAGATCGACTATGCCAAGCCAAAAAAAACCCAATGTTTACAGAAACGACACGGATTCCAGTTGGAACTACACATTGGAAGCAGCCATCTTCAAAGATGCCTGCAACGGACGAGCCCAGTTGCTACACGATGCTACCATTTTCGGCAGAAGGCCTACCCCGTACAACGACCGTCAATCATTAGTCAACCATGGTCCTAAGCCAGCCCTTCTGGGAGCCGGCGGAGGCAACAATTACGCTAAATTTGGACCTGTAAATCAGATGATGACTGTTTATAATCATCATTGTGAAATGATTGACCTAAATTTGCCCTCAACAGAATTAAAAAATATATTTCAGAACCCTGCGAAGTCATACACGGATAGAAATCTCCTTATACCTTTTGGCAAATTTCTATTGCCGATTATTCATAAAATGTATAAGTCAACTAATAAGCAGACGCCTTGCAAAAAACTTATGAAGATCATGTGTCAAATTAAATTTATAAGCGGTCACACATACCTTTTATGCATTCTTATAGGACCTATGTGGTTTGTCTTATGGAATGTATAAGGCTGATGCTTTGGCAAAAATGTATAAGTGAAACACATGAATTAAATAATTGATTTTCGTTTCGTGTAGAACATAAGTCCTATGGCAGCAGCGTTCGGTGGTGGGACGCCCATTTCGATGACAAGCAGCTGTCTCAAACACGATGAACCAATGTAAGACGGAGTCCATGTCCTTAGAAGAAAAGCAACAGCAACGACGAGATTTGGTGGAGATTCACGGTTGTGTTTTGAAAAAAAAAAAATGATTATAATGTGACAACATCAACATGCAGGCGCAGAAAATTGTAACCATGGGTGCCAAACAGTGCCAATGACTGTGCCCAGGTTTGCCTGAGCTTGTTTTGGCACATTGCGCGGAGTGATCAACCCCTTGGTAGAAGCCTTAATAATTAAGGAAAACTTGTTCCATTGAATTACCCTTCGTAATTATTTTTTTCATCGCCATCCAAAATTAGTCCATTTATTAATACATACGTTAATGTGTTTTTGGAATCAATTCTGTCATTTTCGTGTCTTCTGAACGCGTTTAAAGATGTTTTTGGATTGGATAATTTGAAAACAAAACTAATTTGCCTTTCACGGTGGATATGCTCTTAGTAAACAATTTTCATAACTTGATCTAAATTCAAACTATTTCAATCATTACTTAAATTATTACGACGAGATATGTCAATCAAATTTTAAACGTGATTGGAATACACATTTGACATAAAGGATGAGACGCAAACAAACATGGCATGTCAAATTAAGTGCTCCGAGATTGAATTTCAGTCTAAGAGCACATAGATTTACATGGTTTTCTCAAAGTGCAAGTGTTTTCATTTCCTGACCATTTTGATTCAATGAGTAAGTAATATTTGTATTTTGAAGTTTTGTTGAGCGATCCATGAGGCGTTAAATAGCTTTTGCCTCTTAATTTGAATGTTTTGACTTCCCACTGAAGATTTTTCAGACTTTTCCCGGAAGTTTCTTCAGACTTTCCCCGAAAATTATTTCAAGAAGTACATCTGGCTTACGCTGGAGATTTTTTCCGACTCCTCATTTCTCCTGGAATTATCTTTCATCTTTCTCCTGACTTCTCTTGCTAAATTCTACCGACTTCTCTCGGAAGATTAGATAGAATTTTCCCCGGACATTACTTCTGACTGCCCATCGAGGGTTTTGCTATTTTTCTTCCAACTTCCTCCAGAAGTCGTTTCGAATTTCTCCCGGATGTTTCTAAAAGAAGACTTTCTGGCTTCTGCCGAAAACTTAAACTTCCACGGGAATTTAATCTGACTTCGCGTGGAAAATTCTTCCTCCTTTTTCCAAAATATTCTTTCAGCTGCCCCTGTTAATTTCTGCCAACTTGCGATGGAAGATTCTTCCGTTATCTTCCAGAAATTTCTGTCAACTTTCTTTGGAAGATTCTCCCCGTTTTCCTGCAGAGCCTTTCTTTTGACTTACTTTCGTATGATATTTCCGACTTCTCCGACTGTTCTAGGAAACTCTTCTGGCATTCACTGATAGAATCTTCCGAAATTAGCCAGAAGACACATTCTACCAGGATTTATCCACGTTTTTACCTGACGGCTTTGTACTAAAATCTAAAATCTAAACTAACGTACTTCCGGGTAAACTAAAGACACTTCCGGGTGGAGAAGCCCGAAAGGTTTCTGGGTGGTGTCGGATAAATCTTCCAATCGAAATCAAAAGACTACTTTGGGTGAAGTCAGTAGAAATACCCTGGAAAAGTCAGGAAAACCCGAAAAACTTCTCAATAAAACATCTGGAACTGGATTGGAACAAACTTCCTGGAGTAGTTCTCTGAACTACTGCCACATTTTAAATAAGGGTAAACGGTTTTTGATAGAGTTTGAACTGTGACTGTAAACAAAAATGATAGGAACCTTCAAATATTATTGTAGATTTGGAAGGTGTGAAAAATGTACTATAAGAATTGAGAGTTTATGGCGTGATGTTGCGTGACGTTACAACGTTTTGCACTTCTCCACTACACTACTCGACATCTGTTCACCAAAACGATTAGAGTTACTCAAATCAGAAAAAAAAGATTCATTTTATTTCATCCAGAAAATTCATCCGACATCGCAGAGTAATCTATTTAGCTTCCCCCGAAAGTCTCTGCCAACTTGCATTTGATTTCCGTAAGAACAAACGTTAGTTTTGATCAATTTCCCGGTAATAGTTTCCCGATTTATCCCGGATAGATAACACTAGATATGCTTCCGAAAATAAGCGCTTCTATCGCAGCGGTACAGAACCCTTATTTTGAATAAACGAACCCAAGTGATTTTCGGAAGAAGAGCGTACTATGGTTCAAGTCAGCTTTGGATGAACGCTCGGATGCTCCTGGACCGAAAGGATACCATTTACTTTACTGGATTGCACTTGCCGGTAGCACAAAGGTGCGTTAACAATCTGACCACCCACCCGTAACACCATGCACACGTCATGGAACGAAAACATAAACCAAAGCAACCCCCTGCTCTCCACGTCTCCCGGGCTGCCTACTGATGGCTGATGGCGCTACACTCTCATGTGGCCTACTATGGTACTTACGCAATATGTTCACGGTATGGGTCGACACGACATTCTCGGTCAGCTGCATGTTGAGTCCGTGGCAGATGACCACCAGCGAGCGCTTGCTGGCATCCACCGGGGCCGTGATGTTCGACATCGTGATCCAGCCGCCTACTCGTTCGGTGCAACGGGTTTGTTTGAAATATAGATAAAAGACAAATACAAATCGGTTATATCAACAATTCATACACGTATTCAGTTTCTCTATCTCTCATGGATGGGCTTTGGCTGAGCCCGGAACGAAGTGGCTTGCTCGTCCTTGTTGTCCAGCAGTAGGACTGCCGCAGAACACCAGAAGAACGCGAGCCGGTGATGAATTCGGGTAAATATTTTATTACACTTAGCGACCTCTCTCGGCCGTCCTTGCGCGACATTAGCGAGATTCATTGAAGCGTGCATTCAGGCGATAAAATTTCACGCTGACTGACTCTATTGTTGCAATAATGTTTACGCACCCGTGCAGATGGCAGCAGTGTTGGAGCAACTGAATAAATAAGTTTCCGTGTGCATCAGAAGAGACCCTTTTGCTATTTGCCGATGTAATTGTGTCATAATGTTGTTGAGTGACGGTGGTCCGTCAAAAAATAATAGTTGCGTTCTCTAATTTCCCTACATTGATGAAATTATTATACTCGGACGATAACTATCGACCAACTTCAAAGACCGAACGAAATCAGTGAACCGAAATCTCATAAATTTCGCAAAATTGATGACCTTCTTCGGCATCACCGTGACTGACGTTCCACGGGCCATAAATTGAAATATGGATAATGAGAAACGCAGCAGCAGCCGGAGTATTGAGTATCGACATCGACGGCGACGATGACTACGCTACGTTCCAATCAAATAAATTACGCTGGCCGGTGGCTAAAATCGATCCCCGTGCCCGGAGATTGCACTGTGCCCTCCGGCGCGGCAAATGCAATGAATCGCTCTTTTCGCACGCTGTTTCGAAAATTAATACCAACGGGAGAGCTTGATTTTGTTTATTCGAAACGCGCACATATTCGCAATATATGCGCGCGGTCTCACTCTCTCGCGGTGCAAAATATTGATAGCAAAGCTAATTACTATCATCGTTATCCTCGTATCGACTGGTGTTGCTGTAGCAGTGCCACTGTGTTCCACGGAACGCCAAAATCCGTCGTGGAGAGATGTGCGGCAGGAACTTACCTTCCGGGCTTTCGATTGTACGCGATGTGCCATTTTTCACCTGGTGACCACCGACGCTCCACTTGATTTCGGCCGGCGGATTGGACGGTGCCGTTTGACACTGCAACGGGACGCGATCGCCAACGCGGGCCTCCGATGGGCCGGAGATGGTGACGTGCGTTGGGGCGACTGTTTTGCGGGGGAAGAAAGATGGAGTACAGATGAGGAATTAATTAATGTTTGAGGTTATGCTTTGAAGGTTCAATTTCAGAATCGGATGTGCAGTGGTCGAAATTTTCCCTGAATCCCCGCGAGGAAATGTTTACCAGTGCAAGAATTTTTTAACATAATGAGACTTTACGGCTAACTCGGATATTTTTCTATCGGAAAGGTTTTGGGATAGAACCCATGAAGTATGAGTAGTGAAAAATTTTTAAAAAATGTTTAACCGTTATCTACACGGGTACCCAGGTCCGATTTGAGCAGCACCTTAAATACCTTACTATTTTCGTCAAGAAAGAGTCCCATAAAAGTCACAATGAATATTCAATCAAAGAATCCAATACTTACACAGCACACTCAGCGTCACCTCCGTTTTGAGCGGTGCCTTGGCCATGATGTTGTTGGCCTCGCAGCGCAGCTTTGCCTTGTTGTCACTCGCGTTCGCAACGAAGCTGTAGATATTCTCCGACAGCCTTTCCGACGTCCGGTAGGCCATCCGCTCCTGGACTCCGTTCTTGTACCAAATCAACTGCGCCGGAGGATTACCGCCCCGACTGCGGCAAATCAACTCCACTGTCTGGCCCCGCCGCAGTGTTTCGCCCTGGGTGTAGCCCTCGATGTACGGCGCTCCAGGTGGATCTGCAATCGAATCGATAAATCAATTTTAATTAAAGTTTGCCAAAAGATGGGCTGACAAAATTGAATAGGCGTCAAATTCTTTCGCACTTTCGCTAGCAGTTAATAACATTGAGACCCTCCCCCAAGCAGATAGGCGTTCATGTTTCGAAAATCTACCCGGTCTCCTCCCCCGCAGCGAAGGAGTGTGATTTTGAAATTAATTTCTTATCTCATTGTTGTAAAATTTATGCTCTCAACTTTTCACACCAAAAGCGAACGATACCGCGCTGCTGCTGTTGCTGATGTTGCTCTTCCAACGGCAGCCAGTGTATTTTACGACGACGACGACGACGACGACGACTATGCCGGAGAAGCCTCGAGCCTGATAAGTGTATATTGTCACACGCCTCTTTTGCGCCGGTTGTCTTGTTCCGAAACTCTTTGAATGGGATGAAATTGGAGCACTGGAACAGTGTGGCTTGCGAACGGAGGAGTACTTGAATGGAATAATTTGGTCTAAACTCTTTGGCAGATACACTCTGCCGGATGCGAGGTTGCAAAACGATTTCAAGCAACTCATTCCCGCTCGGCTGGAGCTGGGATGGGGCGTATGAGTATGGGGACATGTATGATGACGGTGGCTCCCGGATGGGAGTCACGTGCTCAATCTTTCACTGACAGAAGGCGGCTTCCTCCATTCCAATGGAAAGGCAACGGGAAACGAATTGGTTGGTTCGTTAAAATTTTACGACAAATCATTTCCCGGGACCTGTTACGGTGAACGGTGAAGAAAGCAGAGCAACTGAATGAAGGAGGTGCACGTTAAATCAGGATTGAAAACGGAATTTTTGCATAAAGGTCATCAATGATTTGGAGGATTTCGTGTTTCGCCCTGTTTGGAATTCTCCGAATTCAGAATCTGAAACGGACTTCATGTCCATAAACTTCAAATGTAATCAGGGCAATGGTTAGATTATGACATTAGCGTAAATTTGCAATGTAACACATAACATCATAAGAAAATTTGAAAATAAGCCGCATCGAGGGCCAAGATCCACATTATTCCAAATATATTCTGGATTCCCCCGGGCAAGAAAAAAAAATCTGAACTTAAACATTAACACATCAAGCAACACCTCAAATCACATGAGAACTACGTTGCATGCATGCATGTTTACATCACCAGTAGAATTCAGAATTGTTTTTGTGCAGTTGACAGTGATCAGCAGCGAAAGTTTTCTTCGGTCTCCTGTCTTTAAAATTTGATTTCATGTTATGGAAATTCATTAAACTTATTATTGAACTATTCTGTTCTGTAACTGAATCTGATATTAATTGATGAGATCTACCTCCGCATCCAGTGTACCATCACCAATACTCTTTAGATCTGATTCATATCCATAACACTAATCAGGTATGGCAGATCAACAAAACCTGCCTCAAAAGTCATACCAACCAGCCGTGAAACATTCACTAAACGGCTATGACCTACGATGCTCCGTGCACCAACCCTCTTGCCTCCAATAAAATTATCTTAACACATCCCTGTATCACTTTAAGCTTTTACTGGTGTTCCTTTGGAGTAGACCATAATAATGGTTACTGGTTTTCAGATTTGCAGTCAAAATGCACTAAACTCCCAGTCCCACACTTCAAATATCAAAGATCTGTTCTCTCCAATGTACTCGCTTTCGCAGTTCTATCAATATGTCCAAAGTTCTCCGAACCTGATAGAAGCTAACTTCACTTTTCTCAAAGTATTCATACTTATCCCTAAAAATCTTTAGGTCCACCTTCAGTAGTAAATATATTCAATAAATAGAATAGATTCCTCTATAAAATCAGCTTCATAGGCCCCTGGACCTATCAATATCATCCTCTGAAGTTCTTCTGAATGTTTCCAAGCTTTTCCATATAATACGAGGCAGACGAAGACCGTAGAGCTGGTGAAAATATGCTCATGGCTCTGTATTGTATTAATTTTTTTTTCTTGTGCTGCCAAAAACTAAACATGCCAGAAACGGAACGTACCAAAACCGAAATTTTCCAAAAACGGAACACTACTGTATTTCTCATATTTTTAAAGCCGATGGCCATCAGCATACAGGCCCATCTGTTTGCTGGACACCACTGGTCATCCTCAACAGGTTGTCGGCTTACACCGAAGGTGTAGACGGCCTGTCAAGCAGCCAGTACGGGTTCCGTAAGGGCAGATCCACGGTGGAAGCCATCCGCGACGTCATCCAGACGGCAGAGGTGGTCCACCGGAAACAAAGGGGCATTCGCTACTGCGCGGTGGTAACCCTAGACGTGAAGAACGCGTTCAACAGCGCGTGCTGGGGGGCGATAGCCCGCTCGCTACACCAGCTTCAAATCCCCGGAGGGCTGTACAAGATTCTGGAAAGCTACTTCCAGAATCGTGTGTTGACAAGGAGTGCCACAAGGCTCCATCCTGGGCCCGGTGTTATGGAACGTCATGTACGATGGATTGTTGAGGATAAGATTCCCGGTAAGCGTGAAAATTGTAGGTTTTGCCAACGATGTCACGCTGGCAGTCTACGGGGAATCCCTCGAGGAGGTAGAGCTGACAGCGGCTCACTGCGTCAAGCTTGTGGAGGAATGGCTTGCCCATCACAAGACGGAAGTGGTCGTAGTCAACAATCGCATGTCAGTACACCATGCGACGTTGACAGTCGGCGGAAGCACAATTAGGTCTGTGCGCGCTCTGAAACTCTTGGGGGTTATGCTCGATAATAAGCACAGCTTCGGCTGCCACGTCGAGTACGCCTGCAAGAGAGCGTCTACGGCTGTAGGGACATTATCCCGCATGATCTCAAACAGCTCGGCAGTGAATGCCAGTAAGCGCAGGCTCCTCGCTGAGGTTGTAGTATCTATCCTATCGTGGGCTGCGGTACTGGATATTGACTGCCACAGGCGGAAATTAGAGAGCACACACAGGCTAATGTGCTTGAGGGTGGCCAGTGCATACCGCACTATCTCAAGAGAGGCCGTCTGTGCCATAGCAGGGATGATGCCAATCAGCCTTATCATCAAGGAGGACGTGGTGTGCTATGACGCGAGGACCGTTCGAGGGGTGCGCAACAACGCGCAAGCTGTGTCGACCGCGAGATGGCAATCGGAGTGGAAAAACTCCACAAAGGGGAGGTGGACTTACCGCTTGATACCTTCCGCATCAAGCTGGGTCAACAGGCGCCACGGGGAAGTAAACTTCCACCTGACACAGTTCCTGTCAGGCCATGGCTGCTTTAGGAGCTACTTGCATAGGTTCGGACATGCAAGTACTCCCATCTGCCCCAGGTGTGCTGGCGTCGAGGAGACCGCCGAACACGTTGTGTTCGCCTGTCCACGCTTCGAGCCAGTATCGAGCGCTATGCTAGCGATATGCGGAGCGGATACCAGTCCGGATAACATCGTTCCTAGGATGTGTGGTACCACCGAGAACTGGAGCGCGGTGGTGACTGCGGTCACCCACATAGTTTCGGAATTACAACGACAGTGGCGTGCCGAGCAGCAGTTGCCTACTGCCCGGCTAGATCGATAGAGTATTGCTAGAGAAGCGCCATAGCGCTACAGTGGCCCCTCCCACGAAGTAATGCCTTCGGGTGGTTCCGGGGAGGTCAAGGGCCAAGCGCACAGGGTAAGGTTTAGTAGGTCGGGAGTGAAAGTCTCCCATCCCCACACCCTGAGTTCCTTCTCAGGTGTCTGTGAGCAGATTCTCCCCTGTATAAAAAAAAAGCCGATGGCCTCCATCTTGGATTCAAACATGGCGGCAGATATCGAAATTCCACCACTAAACGTCGTCCCCGTTCGGAAATACATATATTGTAGCGTAGTTGACAATTTTTTTCAAAACCGATCTTGAACTGCATACTGGTGACGGATATGGAATTTTGACATCCACACGTCGTCCTCGTTCCAAAAATACCCATATTGTTGGATAGTTGACAATTTTTCTAAAAGCGATGGCCGAAATCTTGGATTTCAAAATGGCATCCAACATCGACATTCGACCTCTACTTGTCGTCCCCGTTTCGGAAATATCCATATTGTAGGTTATTTGCCAGTTTTGTCAAAATACGATGGTCACCATCTTGGATTCCAAAATGGCGGCGGGCATCGAATTTTGAAATCTACACGTTGGCATCGTTTTGACAGTTTTGTAATTCAGATGGACGCCATATTGGATTCCAAAATGGCGTCTACTGGAGTGGCGTTTGGCACAGGTTTTAGCCTTCACGACGCACCACGTTGAATAATCCAAGGGGTTAAAATCGGGGTTGGATGGCGGGCACATATCTTTCGGCCAGAACGGCAGATGTGCGGCTCAGGTCCATATTGCTCAGTAATCCACGACATACATACATACTAAGAATGCCGATATACACCTCCGTAGTCACTTTATCAAGGGGCGGGATGTGCTGTGAAATTGCCTACTGATCATCCATCAACGGTAAGGCACAGTGAATTTGCTTTCTCTTTCATTCTCCCGCTTTTTAAATGGTTACACGAGTGTGACGTCCAACTCCGTCTTCCATTTAAACAATCGAATAACGAAAGAGACGACAAATTCAACCTGTTATATTGATTATCAATATGTGAATTTGGTTCCAAACATCAACAAACCATCGTTGCTTGTTGTCGTTTGGAACCAGTTATGCGAGGTAGGCGACGATTGTTCGTATTTGACAGTCACCTCCCCTCCTTGACTTTATCCCCTTCAACGGTTGCTAAACCGTCTAGCAGTATAACTAAGCTGTGTTCCATTTCCATCGGTCAAATTTTGGTGAATTTTCACTTACATTTGATAGACGGAAAATTTGAAAATAAACTTACTAATATAGCAAACTTATTTCTGACAGACAAGGAATCAATTTTGACATACACCTTCTCGAAAATCGACCGGTCAACAACAGAGGAATTTTCGAACATCGTAATTGATTTTCGAAGTGTCAAATTCAAGTAAATATTTACCAAATAGAACACAGCTTTATTGCTACGTT